CATCGTTTTTATATGAATTTTTATATACATTTCATCGGCCTCATACAAAAAAAAAAGAGAGAAGGATTAATTGCTTATCATTGACAGATACGCGTATTTTGTCTACAATGCGCAGACTTCTTCAGTGTATTTTACTAAAGGGTGACCGTTTAAAATCCGCGCACACAAAATTCATTTTAGAAATTCAAGTTTTTATCCGATTATTACCAAATTTTCAGGGAGTAAAAAGAAACAATGAAAGTTAGTTTTGGCATCATTCATTTAATTTATTTCGCCTTTATATCCGAATGCGTGAACCTTGGCCTTAACCCCAGTCTTAAGGTTCTGCACGACCTCAGAATCGGCAGTTTTTGCATATTAACCCATGCTTTCTTCATCATTGTAGTGAGTGACTACCGACTGAGTCGGACGTGTGTGCTGTTTGCTGCTGCGTCCAGGCTGTTGCTGGTTCGAGGAAAGTGTTCGACGGAAGGCTGGTCCGGTAATACGGATTAGGTGGCGGATTGGTGGAGTGATACGAAGATAAGGTGGCGGTTAACATCCGCAGGTGATGCGCTATAATTTGCGTGACGGTTTCAATCGGTGGCGGTGATAGAAGAAGAAAGAAAAAGCGTGATTGAGACTGCTTTTGGCAGGATTGCTGCTGAAGGGGCGAAGGGTCTATGCGGGAGGCCCAGTGTGCATATGTGTGCGAGGGGAGCGCAAGGGGAGTGCGTTTAAGAGTGGAAATTGTGGATTCCACGCCGAACGGTAGCGATAATTTCGAGTGCGAGAAGGCAGGAAAGGGGAAGAAAAGAAGAAGCTGATAGTGCGGGGAAAATAAAAAGCGGCAAACAGTAGTGTGTGAGTGAGCACCCTAAAGGAATACAGAGTAAAGCGGTGGTGAAATTCTGTGAGACGAAGAGAGTAGAAAGAGAAGCAAAAAGAAAACGGTGAAAGAGAGTGGCAGTGGTTTTAATGCAGCGACAACCGATAGTACCACATAGGTGTTTCATCTTCTCGTAGTAGGGGTTAAAAGAGAAAAAAAAGGAGAAGAACAGTGAAGTCCGACCGCAACGCGGTCCGCAAGAAAATAGTTTCCCTAGAAGCCCTTCAATTTAGTGAAGAGGAAGAAAGTGCTGAGTGGTTGCGATGATGCGCGTTGGTGTCGGCCAAATGTTGTAAAGGATCATGATCGGATTTACCGGGAAATACCGATTGGAGCTTATGGCCATTAAGGACAGGTAAGTAGTTGGTCCATCAAGGTAAGATAAATTAATAAACATATAAAGTATCCGTTCGATTTTGGCAACACGTTCTCAGTATATTTAAACTGCTTGAGCTCTGCAGTTATATTATTAAATTCTATTTAATAATTTTCTTAGATTTTCAGTAAAATTGTGGAGCTTTAAACGTCACCTGCAGGCCTGTTCTGCGAGTAGTATGGCTCTCTGTCGCTAGTAGGGTGACGGTGGTCGCCTCGTGTGAGGTGACTCTTCATTTGATTGCACGGAGAGTCACCTCACTAGTTCGTGACTTTTGTTGACTCATTGGTGGAGATTCGCACGACTCGCGGAATAGGTCAGATGATAAGTTTTGCATTTATTAAAGATTTTGAAAAGCTAAGAAGGCAAAATTGTGTTGACAAAATCTAACGGGTAATGCCGATATAAATATATATATATACACACATTAAATGCAAAGGGGAGGGATGGGACCACCAGGGCACCGGATTGAAGCGATTTGGATGGGGAGAGTGGAATTGCCAACTCCCTGTCATTAACATTTCGTGAATTGACGGCGGGCTCTTCTCCCCACTCATTGGGACGTTCCCTCGTATGATGGCTTGTTCTACATCGGGTTGTAGGATTTTATCATTGGAAGGCGATTCTCCTGATCCCGCGGATTGCGCGTAAGTGTATCTGCTTACGGGTCCACCCCTCCGTTTTTAGCCCTTCTTACAATGGTAAATTGAATACAACCAGGTATCGTACTTGATCAAGTCATACATGGAGGATGATCCACTGTCTAATAGCTGTGCCTTGCAACAATGAGTGGTATCCTTTACATACATACATACATTAACCCATGCTTTCTTCATTTCTTCTACATTTTTCACCACTTTAGTTCGTGTTAGAAGGTGCTTCTTTATAATAACCCAGTATTTTTCTATTGGGCGCAGTTCCGGAGTGTTTGGGGGGTTCAGATCTTTCTGCACGAAAACGACATCATTCGCCTTATGCCACTCTAGCACGTCCTTCGTGTAGTGACATGATGCCAAATCCGGTCAGAAGATCGTCGGACCGTCGTGAGCCTTCAGGTGAGTGAGAGGGAGAAACCGCTTTTGGATACACTCTTCCAAATACACCTGTCCATTCATGGTGCTTGCGGTAACGAAAGGTGTACTCCGCTTTCCGCAAGTACAAATCACTTGCCAAATTAAGAACTTCTTGGTGAACTTCGACATCTTATGTGTCCGGAGGTTCTCGGGAACATAACCCTTATCCTTGGCAGTCACATACAGGTTCCTGGAATCTGGTTGAAGTCCGCCTTCACATATGTCTCGTCATCCATTACGCAGCAGTGTGGTTTCGTAAACTTCTGGTCGTAGAACTTCCGGGCACGGGTTTTTGCGACCGTATTTTGTTTCTCGTCACGGTTTGGGGACTTCTGAACCTTAAACGTACGTAGTCTAACTCGAGTTTTGGAATTATGCACGAAAGTCTTGCTCACATGCGACTTTTGAGCCACATCTTGAACTGAGGCTTTCGGTTTCCGTTTAAAGGCCCCAACCACGCGTTTGTGATCGTTCTCGTTGACCTGACGGCTTTTTTTCCGGATCCTCGCTTTCGATCAACAGTCAGACGTTCTTCGAACTGTTTTATTATACTAGATACCGTGGAATTCGCGATTCCCAACGTTTTTTTCCGATCCTTATTCTCAAAGTACTCGTGCAAAACGTTTTCGCGCACGCGCTTTTCTTTCGTCGCCATTTTGAAAACTTTTGCGCACCTGAGGAAATCAACTCACAGAGTGTAAACAATGCACATTAAACTATGTCTACATAAAGTTTTAATTAATTTTACCCAACAGATCAAAATTTAGAGCAATTTGTGTGTGTGCGGATTTTAAACGGTATACCCTTTAATACTCGGCTAGTATAAAGGTATTCCACTATAGACGGCCGCATTCATCAGGATTTATTGGCCTCATAATTTTCATGTGATTCTGTGGTGGAAGTTGCAGTTATGTGATCACAGGAAAGCTTTATGAAATTTACATGGATTTTTTATAATTTGATATGTGATATTTTTTAGTGTACATCAACACTCCGAACACGATGCGTCCGGTAAAATGTGTAACGGCTAACTTGCAATGTTTGAAAAATCATAGCACTGCAATTTATTGACGAATTTAAATGGGCGCCATTTGAAACAACATACTTTAAAGATTTATTCGGTATCTATAGATTTAAAATCTATCAATAAATTACTGAGCTCTGATTTTTCAAACATTGCCAATTTACCGTTTCACATTTTACCGGAGGCATCTTGTTCGGAGTGTTAAAGAGGAAATCGGAAATCAATTTGATAACTGCATGTGCAGTTTAAATCCCTTGAAACAAAATAAAAATCATCATAACTATATTTATTTTTTTATTATCCGTAAGTCACTTTTAAGCTATTTTGATCACTTTCCGGTTGACCAGAAGTTACTTTTTTAAAACTATTTTGTCACTAAGTAATTATTTTCTTGGGCACTAATCGCTTCCAGCCCTGCGTTAATGAGCATGATTGACCGCCCACGGTTGCTGCTCTGTTATTGCCAGATCAGCTGCAATTACACAGAGAATCAACAGATGATATTTGGGACTAACATTCATCCTCGATGTGTAAAAACGGGAGATCTAATATTTAGCAATAAAGATTGCTGACGTTTATCATACGCACACTACGTCACGTATACGTATACGCGAAATGTTTTATTGAAAAAAAAAACTTCATAGCGGAAAATTTTTCCGATGAAAACAAATCACATCACTGATACAATACCAAACTTTAGCAATCTCTATACCAGCGCCGGCCGTGTCCGAATGCAGGCCAAGTAGGGTATAGGAAAGAATGTGTTGATTTGATACTCGCTGTGAAGATAGCCGAGAAGTCCTCTGCGCTTCCACGAGAAATCACTGGGATGTTAGATGTGGGGAAAGGTTTGCAGCAGGGATCGTTTTGGTAAACTAATGCTGATAATGACGTACCTTAACACTAATGGATATGAAGTATAAATAGATAAAAAGGAAAGATCTTACCGAAGGAATCAAGTGGACCTGCAACAAGCTGCTTCGTAGTGTTTTCATATACGTAATAGTGCCAGCCGTAGACGGTCCACGGGGATCAACATGAACTGGGCCAGACTCTTTTAGAATTTTTTGAAATACCGCAACGTTCGTTGAATGACCATTTTTGAAATTCGATTTTAGTGGCGATTCAGAAGCGAGCAATTGATTCTTTAGCACTGCAGTGTACTGGTTGTTTGTAGCTCCGTTTAAAACTTGTCCATCTTCCACGGTAGTCAATTTTCAGTAGTTCGTTCCGCTCGGCCAGCAAACTGGAATTTATTGTGGAACCTGAAAGCAGTTCTTGACCTCCGCAACTCCAACTCCAAACTTCGTGCACAATTTGTAACTTAGGTTCAACACACTATTAAACGTTAAGTTCCTAACCGCTTCCAGCCCTGTGATAACTGTTTTTATTAGAAGAGACTGTCCTCATTTTGAATGTTTCTTTGTTATTATTATTATTTTCTCATTTTATTCGTTATGACAATCATGAGTACTATAAACAATAAACAATCATTTACAACGGATATTCCACTCCAGTATTTAAATGAGAATACACCTTCATTTCAAGTTTCGAATCGTAGTGGGATTTACATATATCAGATCTTATACTTACGGGATTCTCCGAAGTAATAAATATTAGCGGCTTCTTCAAGTTATCAGTCGTAGGAAATTCACCTAATCTGAGTGCATTGCTTACTTTATTCACTAATCATGATTCTATGGCTCTGTAATCTCTCGATGCCATCCACAGTAGGCTGATATCAGATGCACTCCTTAGCCTACCGGAGAAAAAGAACAACAAATTGCTGCCATCTATCGTACCGCTAATGATCCGCATTGTTTCGTTCGGAGTGAGATATAAATGTTCACCAAACCGAATACTGCTCGCTGAAGAGTTCCGAAGATTTGAATCTAATAGTTCATAAACCGTGTCTTTTGAAAAGAGGATTGGCATTTGAACGTCACACTGCCCTAGATATTTTGCCGTGTTCTCAACGTTGTGGTTTGCTTTTGCGCATATTGTAGTGTGTCGTTGAGGCAATCGTTGATTTATGGCCGTTATAATTTGAGGTGTATTGATAAAGAACAGATCGCTAGTAATTAGTAGATAGTCTCCCGGAACACAATGATGATAGAATCGCTTAAGGTGGCGGTGTATGAAACTTTCCTGATCATTTAACCGGCTCGGTGACTTTGTTAATGCAAATTTTATTTGCACGTCAGGGCTGCTTCTGTATGCCCATGTTTCTCTTATTGCTTGACGAAATTTCTTGTTCACCTTAGGTGATTGCACTAAAATGTAGAGCTTTGCACTTGTATTGTGTATGCATTTTTCACTACAGTTGCTATTAGTCCAACTTGATCTTTGGCGTATTATTTTAAATGCATCCAAGATCTTTTCGTTATCACGATTTATCACAACTTCTGGTTCGTAAGCCAACTGCACACTTGTAACGATTATAAGCGACAGTGCGGTTATCACAGTTATCACACAGAATAACGTAAACTTTTCAAAAAACCGTGTCATTTTGTGTTTGTTGAACAGTGTCGTGCTTATTGCAGGGGAAAGCTTGTAAACAACTGATTGTGTCTGGAGCAAGCCCGCATCGACGGGGTGTTGTTTGGGTGGGTGGTTTCTACTGGCTGGTCAAGTACCAAGTCGGATCAGCTGTGCATATTTGTTTTATGTAAGAGAGACACATTCTAGCACACACTTAGCGATACAACGGAAATCCACCGTCGTCGCCGCGATGGTTTATCGGTCGATGAGTAATGAAAGGTATGTCTAGCTTGCGGCAAATTCAATTTTCCTCGAGTTGAAGCATTATCACTATATAAGTGACGGTAGTTGCTAGCGTCTGAAAATAAATACAATGCTTTAGAACATCTAAATTTAAAAATTCCAGGTGTGCGGATATTCGATGCAGAGATATGGATATGTGACGTGAATTCACAATGCGTTGTACATTGATTCCGTGGTATAGTATATGCAAAGCACCAGTTTAAATTATGGCTAATTAGCATGCATGACCTTACGTACCGATCCGAGCAAACCATAATCAATATCGAAGAATCCATTCGCCGTCGTAATGAATGGCTGATGTTGCATTTGAGCTAGAAAATCGCGAATATCCAAATCTTCATAGTTATATTCTGGCTTCAATAGAGCTTCGGCTGTTTTTGATGCCTTAAACGAGAGGAAAAGTAGCAAACTTCAATCGATGACACGTTTCACTGGTTTGTATTGTGCACGGTGCATTATTGTCACATGTGGTGGCCTATGCGTATGTGTAAGCAGATTTGTACAGTAAAAATATAAAACTATACATATTCCGTTTTCTCGGTAATTGCTGGTGCTTAGTATTTGTAGGATAGGGTTTCTTTGTCTATGCCCCTATTTTCAGCGTATCACAAATACATAGGAATAACGCTATTAATATTTAACACAAGTTGAATTTAATTAAATGCTAAATATCTTTGGCAAAGAAGAATTATAGGCAAGTTGCTTCAATTTAGGGGTTTCGTGAAAAGCCGAAAATACAAGCATATGCCGATATTAGTAACCCTATGTATCTGATAGTATACAGGAACGTGCCTGCAGATATTTTGTTCTGGTGGATTTTCTAAATGGAATTTCCTTCGAAACTAATTCTTTTACGAGTTGTGTTACAGTGATGTATGTAACATACACTTGGGCATATTATAACGGGAAAGTCAACTTGAAACTGAACAATACTTTGGTCACATTCTTATTTTTCCGTCGTTTCTCTACAGCAACATAATTATTGAAAAAAAAAATAACCCTAAGACTGATAAACTGATCAAAATTTTGTCGGTTCAAACGGTTACAAAGCGGGTCCTGAATGTCCTCAAAAACTCTTTTGGTATGGTAATCTAGCTTTTCTTTCATATCCTTTTAGTCTTCCGACCAGTGTTGGCAGATATGCCTATTTCAAAGCTTGATATCGATATACCGATAAAGTTGCTCAGAATACTGATTTTTTAGATTTTATACCGATTAAGGGTTTTTGATCTAACCTCACTTTTTTAGAATGGATATGAACCCAAAACTGGAGTGATTCTACTATATATGACTTCCAAATTTATTTACCGTACCGTCGTTGGATTTGATAAAGAGTCACAAATTGTTGCGAGAAATCTAACACTGCTTCTTGATTCCAAATTCGTTCTACGAGTTCCAACTCCGTCCTAACGCATTGAAACACACACCATGGGTTTTTCTACGTTTTTCTTCGTTCTACGAATGAACGCAGAATTAAAAATGGATTTGCTAGGAGCGCTTGCTTTGTTTTGAGAACAATCAGTGTAAACACGAGGTAAACATATATACAACGCGCCCGTATAGACTTTGTTTTGTAGCTATTAAAAAAAATCATTTTATCGAAAATGGTTTTAATAATTTAAGATTAAAAGTTAAAGATTTGAGAATTTGGTTTTTAGGTCTAATCATTTTTAATATAAGAGTTTAGTCAGCGTTTTGGAGATCATGCAATGTTTATCATCAAGTCTGAGATATTTTAGCTCAAAATTCACTGAAAAAAAATCTTGACTTAAAATATAATAATTTTGTGAGATGATAAAATCGGTTAAATCTGGATTTTTTAAGGAGATTTTGAAAATTTTATAAGAATTTTGGATCGTTGTTTTATCATGAGTATCAATTAATTATCTCCAAGTAAATCCTACAAAAATAAATGGATAAATGGACCATACTTTAATTATGTGACGCAAAATTGAGGAAAATTTGACCCCACGTTTTTCTTATACCTAATGCATTGCTTGTCACAAAATCTTACACATTCCCTCCCCCCTTAGAGCGTCACATAATATATGGATGATCCCTAATAGCAAGATACCGATAAATACCCAGGGAATGTTAACTCAACCGATGTCTCGAGAAAGTTAGTTTTATGAACATTCTTAGCGAAATGCCTATTTTACTTGAAGATTAGATTCGATGTTGTCCATTCTTGGCATCCAAAAATTATCTGGTTCGACTTGAAATCGCAGTTTTGGAAAACAAATCTTCTACACTATTTCAGTGCCTACATTTCAAAGGAGCTTTTATTTGCGACAAATCGACGACTAAAGCCATTGTTAACAAAAGCAATTACGCCCCTTTGAAATGTTGGCACCGATTTATTAATTTGCCATTCAGCAGTTGCCATAGTGTAGGCAATAATTTTATTATGTAATGATAAAGAAAGTAATATTATACTGAAAATAAATAAATAGTGTATAAGATTAAACATATTTCTTATTCTATCAAAAATTACTATTTCAAGGCTAACCTGATCGTACTTGTGATCATAAAATCGCTAATTGTCATCCTCTTCTTGCATGTTACAAATACAAATTATCATTATAATGTATCATAGTTTCATTATTCCGAAAAATAGTATATTAGCTGACATGAGCATTTCCAACTTTGATTTTGGCATGCCAAGAAGGGACAACATCGAATCAAACGTGCAAAATAATGTTTTTTGGTGAAATTTTCAGTTATCTTCTACATAGTGTATCAAAAAAGCCTTATTGTTTCAGGTCTAATGCTCTTCAGGGTAGCAATTGGTAAATATTGAAGAACATGTGAGTAGAAAATGAGCTGCCCGTTTTTGCTCCTTTTTAATTTATGGTACACAGAAGTTTGTATGATTTTTTCGCTATTTTGACAAAATGCGCAATAAAATCATCAAAAATAAGTATTTTGATACGAATGATCATAAAACTGCATACATTTCTCAAGACATCGTTTAAGTGGACATTGCTCAATGCCAAAAAGGATAAGATCAGAAATTTATTATCAAAATTACTTGAAATTGAACCAGTTCATGTAATTAAAATAGAAAATTAAATCCCGTCTTGGCGATTCACGGAACGGCATTACTAATGATTTTTATTTAGTTCACTTCAAACAAGTATATTATACCGTAGAATCCCGTTAATTTGAATAGCTAAAATTGCATTTAAACAGCGCTCACCCCTACAAAGGTGCCTATGGCTCTACGTATCTGTGTAGGGGAATAAAAAAGTGAGCGCCGTCTTAATGCAATTTTAGCTATTAAAACTAACGGGGTTCTACGGTATAGCATTTTTCTTTGTTTAATGATTGCTATTCCCATACCCGCTGGCCGAATTATGAGTAAATCCTCTTTTTACGAAGGTGAGCTCGCGAGTATGGGAAAAGCAATTATTAAACAAAGAAAAATGCTTTACCGTAGTGGAGGCGAACCAGCCTAAGGCTGAAAGCCTCCTTAATAAAGCTAAATAATAATAATGCTTTACCGTAGAACCCCATTAGCGTTAGCACTTTCTACGAAAGTGAGTAAAATTTGTAAGCAAAATAAAAGAGATTCAGTTAATTTGACTCAGTCTGTGAGTTAATTTGATTGTCCGTGTGTTAGAAAACACTTTCTTGCCCCAGAGTTGATAATAGAAGAGTTACGTAGAGTGAAGCTTGCAACACTAATGTCGATCAGTAGCCATTTTTTTTAATTTTTGCAACTTTTGTTTTTGTTTACACCTCGGATGACTTCACCTGGGTTTTAAAAGTTCTCTCTAGTTTAGATAACAATACTTCCCACGCAACAGAGTCAGTTTGTCTACTATGCTCGATAGGTAGATGGTTTGACAGTTCGATAGGTAGATTTTGGTTTCAGTCTGCGTAACTCTTCTATTATCAACTCTGACTTTCCCAACCACCCGACAAGTTGACAGATACTCTTAGTTGAACGTACCCACTTGCAAATAGTAGATGTCGCTACACAACGTAAACAACGGGCTTGTCCTCCTCCCCAACGGTTTTTCCCTATGGCAACCCAACTTTTTATTTCACCATGTGTGGATGTCAACAACAGGCAATAATGCCATGTGAAAACAGCCAATTTAAATCCAAACAAATTTAACCGATTGATTGAGTTTCATCATTCAGCATTTTGTGTGGTCGTTGGCGGGGGGTGGTTCTGAATTTAGCGATGAGTAATGTTACGTAATTGCATCCTCCCTATTCGCACACGCCTGAAGATCGGAGGCGAATGCCACTTCGACTTGTTGTTTCTTTTAGTGGATTTGTTAGTTATGTCGATGCTTTTGGACAATGCTTGACATTTACTACTTTTAAATAGTTTCTTGTTGAAAATCAATTGTTTTCGATGCGTAGAAATATGTCTGATCGATTAGTGATAAATTATTGAATTCATAATTTCGTTACATGTTCCATTTTCGGTTTTTAAAAAATGTACCTCCATATATTAATCACAGACATAGTCCTACGTCAAAAAACTTTAGTTTCTTAAATTGTTCTTGCATATTTGTGGAATGAAAAGGAGTGTACTTCCCCGTGTTTATATTACGGGATGAGTAAAGTAAACGGTTTAAGAGGCTACCGCTTCATACCCGCAGTGCGCACGCAATCCACGATGTAGTAACGATATACTAAAGAGTATAAACAATTTTAGGTCAAGTTTGACACTGGAAAACCGCGACGCGACATTCGATTTTACTCTTGTTCTGTATGTCGAACATAACGTCGGACATAGTGTGCATTATAGGGCATCATTGTGCGAATACACCGCACTATGTCCCATACTATGTTTAATGTACAGAACAAGAGTAAAATCGATTTTCGCGTGTGGGGTTTTCCGGTTTTCAACTGTACCGATAATAATAACAATATGTATGTATGTACAGGTCCATCCCTTCAAAGCTACCGATCTGAATTCACAATATCGCTGTATGAAGGGCCAAAAACGGAGGTGCGGACTCGTAAGCAGAGACACTTACACGAAATCCACGGGAATTTAAGAATCTCCTTCCAACGATACGATCCAACAAATCGAATAACACAATTCGCAATACTTATTAAGCTTCCTACAGGATGGTTTGTAAAGAAGGGTGCGTCAATCTCACTGAAACTGGAACACCACCACAATCGAATCGGTAGGATAAAGAAAATGATAGTGTTTATTCCCTCCTAGACTCCGGTTATCATACCACTCCATCGTCCAGTTCCAGGTCAAATAATACCCTGATGCTCCCGTCCAACCCAGTATTTATTCATATAATGAAAATATATGTAAAGGAGAAAGAATCAGCAAGAAAATTTAGTCAGAACATTAAATATGAAATAATGAATATAAATGTATATAGATAAAATAGTTGACACCA